TTTTTGGTTTTCCTTAACATTAAATGAATTTCTAGGTTTTGAGATTAGGAGATATCTTTGTCATCTTTGTTGCTATCGCTAAGAACTTCCATGACGATTGCTACAGATACATTTACGAAAATGAAGCGGCCTCTACATGTTTTCGTGATTTTTTTTTATTACTCTAGACTGGCGTTTGTAGTTGAGTGGTTAGATGCTATGCTGTCTCTCGCAAACGATCCAGGTTCGATTCTCGAAAGGGGATAAATTTCAATCGAGTATTGTAGTATTTCTGCTGGGATGTTGAATCCCTCTCCACATGGGTTGCCCTGGCAGACAGGGTCGGAAACCTGTCACCTAAAAATGTGAAATGGTATAGGTTTATCGCCCCTATCAACACTATTAGACCAATTGATTAGACTATTTAAGAGGCGGGGCCCCCGAATTTAACGTCCATCTCTGAAAGGTCCGAGCCAAATTAGAATTTCGTTCTGAAGTGCCGTTGCCAAGGACACAACGACAGATCGAGCTAAGGCTCGAACTCCCGAACCCTTAATCTCACGATTAGTAGTCCGGTAGCCTAACCACTAAGCTACCAACGCCTCCCCAGCACCTAAATGATCTGAATTGTGTCGAAGGAGGCGCAAAAACTGTTGCACAAGAGGAAGCGTTAGCCAGTTTGACTCCTCCGTTATCAAGACATCTGCTAACGTGTATCTTTTTCTCCTCAAAGACAGGGTCAGAAGTCCGCCGCTTAATGCTTTAAATTGCGTAAATGGGGGCGTATAAACACCTACACAAAAGATTTTAAAATATTACTCTAATTACGTCTAAATGTGAGACATGTACAGTTTTATTGGGGGCTCCATTGATCGGGCTGTAGGTTGAGTTCAGGCTCATAAATAATGTGAGGCAATGTCAATGACACGGCACTGAGGTGGGCGGTCACAGGGTGTGGCCCTGAGGAAGGCGCGATAACCCTGGAAGGAGAAACAGGGCACTGCGCAGTGGCGCTCAGCAATAGCGTGTGGTTAACATTATCTGATTCTGTATTGGTGTGCGAATGTGCCAAATTGTGAACTGGTATAACGTCCCTTGCGAGTAGCAGCATTGTGCGGTTATACATCAGGCGATACCTCCGAATTTAACATGCATCTCGGGTAGGAAAGCTCCAGTTAATGATCAACTTTGTGCGAAGGACATTCGCGAAAGATACAAAGTCGAACCGTTCTTGTAAAGTATCTTTCCCAAAGACTCGACGTCCAACCGTTAGAGGCTCTTTTACACGTGCAGTTCATTCATCGACAAACTGAAGGACATCGAAAGAATGGCGGGGATCTTGTCAACTTCCCGGTAAAACTGAGCGTTGAAAAGAGCAATCCTCCCGATATGGAAGAGTCTCAGTCCAGCCACCAGATATCTGGCTATTTGCCGGCCGCCGAACTGAAGGCATGACGAAGAGGGAGCGGCATTTTTATGTTGCCCAATGCGGAGATGAAAATGGGTTCTAAAATGTTCCGAAATATTGGCCAAAGTTTAAAAATAATGAGATTTTCTTGATCAGCGACCCAAAATTAGTAAAAATCACGCAATGAACGCAATCTAATACCGCATTACAAAGTTAAATTCTTTTTGTGTGACTGACACTCTAAGCGTACAAAAAAACTGTATGTCTAAACTCTAAACGAAACTTTTTTTGTCGACAAACGGTCAGACCCAACGGCGACCCAGATCCAGTGTTCGTCGGTTAAACTGTCAGTTTGTCGATGAATGAGCTGCTCGTGCAAATGGGCTTTTAGTGTAAAGCGGCTTTCCCAAAGGCTTAGGGTCGAATCGAACTCAAACCTCGAACTACCAGGTCCGGTATCCTAACCACTGGACTTCTGACGCCACGCAGTATAAGTCTATGAAATATTGTGTTTTACTATGTGATTTTTATGAAATCTCTGAATAAAATTTGATTCACTGGTCATCAATAAAAACAAACCGACGTTCGTGTGTAACAGTTACGCGTCGCTGTCACACGCAAAAAAACCTGAACCGATTTCCGTGCCGAGAGAACAATTTTTGTAAAGGAGTTTCCCGATCTTTCTTATTTACTTATTTGCTTGGTTGTGGAATAGACATCACTGCAGGCGGCACAATGCCATAGCTGCTCCTCCCTCCTCTCCAGGATCTATGAAAGGATCTGCTTGCTGATCGTGTAATTTATCACGTTTGGATATTCTTCTGGATCTTTCTGCTCAGACGTTGTTTCCTACACTAGCAGTTGGCCCTGTCGAGCAGGGTCGAAGTCAACCTATAAAATTATATAAGTAACATTGGCGGGGGCGTAAAACACTAAAATCTTTTTTTTAATCCTTCAAAATAATATTATGTTTTACTTTTGTCTTTTTATTAAGCTGCGAATTTGTTTCTAGGTGGGTTTAATTTAGTATTTTTATTTTTTTAAACTGTATATTTGAAGAAGTTGATTCGTCATTGAATCAAATGAGAAAAAAGAACGCTTTGCTTGCAGATCTAAGGAAAGAAGAATTACAAATAATTTATCTACATTTCATCATGCGTCACTCACCGTGAAGCATGTGCACATAGACATACATAAACAGAAATAAATGCAGGCACAAGTGCATACATACGTGCACAAATTATTTATTAACACACACACACACACACACACACACACACACACACACACACACACACACATTT